CACCTTTTCCGCCCCAATGATTTCTTGGTGAAGGTTTGGGGTTTAGTTAAAGCCGACACCGGGGAGAGAGGGGCCGAGTAGGCGCTCGTGGATCCTGGCACCGAAGTGGTTCGGAATTTGGTGTCCGAGCAAGGCAGGTCAAGATGAGCTCATCGAAGATATTGATGGAGCTCACCATTTTGTACATGTGAGTTCTTTTTTACTTCATGTTGGGTGAAGAGGAGGATGTTATATCATTGGTATGCTAACAGCTATCTAATGAGTGCCTATTGCGACCTTACACTCTTGAACCACATTAAATTTGGTCTATGTAAATACCGACTGAGCGACTCATCAATAATTGACCCTTTACGGTCAGGAGTGCAAGAAAACAGATTCGGATTCTTAGCCGGCTATCTGATGATCGGAGTTTAATCGACTAGATTGCTTCTCGGTGCTTGCAGACCTTGGGAGTTGCTCAGTCGAGACATACCTATCTGGAACCAGGGGTCTTGAGTGGACCTGTTGTTGTCTGGCAAGTCGAAGCACTGCATGTCACAGACTTCCATCGCTAACAACTATGGAGAAGATCCTGAGACACCGCGGTTGCGCCGTGAGGCCGGATTTTGGTCTACGTGCTTGCCGCCAGATTACGAGATTCAGCTGGAGGTTCTCTATCTGAGCGTCATCTTTTATTAGTGAGCCTTACTGATCTATTGACATCAAGATTAGCAAGAGGAGAATGCTTATTACACTTTCCGGAATCGGCAGTGGCATCGTGTAACGGACGACGCTCCGTGTGTGAAGGACGGGAACAACACCGACACCCCAATGTCTTGATAATCAGATTGTACCTAGGCTCAGTGGGCCTTGGTGTGTCCCTGCCTGTTGGGGGAGCGGCAGAATAGGTACCTAGAATTGCACTGGGCTACCTTAGGCGGCTTGCTGGTTTGGCAATCCAGGGACCGCCACCGCCGCCGAAGCCAGGACGGACAGGACTCGGTGAGAGATCGATGCCCGGGGGTGCCGGAGAAGCTGACAAAGAACTCGGATTGTTTAGTTGGGGAAGCAACATGCTTCGTCATGCTCACGGCACATAACTATGTAATGGACAGGTCTGGGTGTCCTATCAACGGTTGCCATTGTGTCGATGCGGGCCCGGTCATGAATCACAAAATGACATGAGAGGGGAGGAAAGAGCTGGTAGTTAAGAATGTTGGTAACGTATTGCTGAGACAAATAAACTCAGAGAGGTTGCTGGGTTGAAGTGTGTGGAAACACCATACGTCAAGTCCGCGACAGATCCAGTCAGACATTGAGTTGCATAGCATGGCCCCGAAAGCACGGAAACGATTCGACCGCTTGCGCCTGAAGCAATTGGCCCGGGCGAGAAGAATTGATGGATTCAGTGTCAGTTTAAAAAGGACTCCATAAGTGTAAGTAGGTAGGCAAAATTTAGGCAAAATAGCAGTGAATTAGTAGTTTGTGACGAGTCCGGAGATAGAATCGCCGCTGGGTACATCTGTGCTATGCCACGCGAGAGAAGAGACACAGCTTATCTACGTGGGTGTCTGAGTGATGCCCTCGCAAGGACATCGCATAACAGTACACATTCATGACTATAACCAATTCAAAGTCTTGACTGGTTTGATCACCGGATCCAGTCAAGACTTTGTTAGGTGAATACCTCCATGACAAGTAACTCAGTGGACGGACCTACCTACACTCTCTTCTACCAATCCACCCACTCTTTTTTTTTAGGGACTTTGACTTCTGGATTTTAGGGACCCGACTGCATCATAGCCCCATCGCTCACGCAGGGATCCCACCTATCGATGGAGGTGGATGGATTTGGATTGTTACCTTAGCTCCCCCAGCTGCTGTGCTCAGGTCTGCGGCGGGCATTGGACGCTCCCGTCGTCATAAAACCTTCCTGGCCAGGCCCCAAAACCTCGTCACCTTTTCCGTTTTCATTTCCATCTTCCAGATCTCTCTCATACTTCATCCACTCTCCCATTTGTCTTGTACAGCTTATCCTCATTCCCTTCTGTGTTGTATCTCGTTCCCCAGCCCATACTTGAACCTCAACAATGGATCCGTAGGTGCTCCCCTCAACCATCAACTTCCCAAACACCCCCACCATGACTTTGCGCTCTAGCTGCGAGCTATCATGCTCGCGCTGAGTGTTTTGCGATACGATCGCGGCTCCTCACGCTTCAATGTCTGAACACCACAAGAAAAAAAAACCTCTTTTACTGACACAATTTCTCCTCTAGATGCATGGAGCTCAAGCAGAACACGACAATCGTCGTGCTCGGCGCTTCTGGTGATCTGGCGAAAAAGAAGACGGTGGGGAGCTCCCCCAACTGCCCCTCACATACTGATGTGCTTGTGCTAACATGTTCGATTTTGCTGCGTGATAGTACCCTGCGCTTTTCGGTCTTGTAAGTGACCAGTCCATTGGACAGAGCTCTCTTCTCTCGACTAACATAACCTCAGTATCGAAATCAGTTCCTGCCCAAGGATGTCAAGATTGTCGGATATGCCCGCACCAAGATGGACCACGATGAATACATTCGACGCATCAAGTCATACATAAAGACACCCACAAAGGAGACTGAGCAGCAACTCGAGGAGTTCGCCGGGCTTTGCACCTACGTCTCGGGCCAGTACGACAAGGACGAGTCCTTCCAGGGTTTGGAGCAGCACCTCCAGGAGGTTGAGCAAGGCCGTCCCGAGAACCACCGTCTTTTCTACATGGCACTGCCTCCCAGTGTCTTCACCATTGTTTCACAGCACTTGAAGAAGATTTGTTACCCCAAGAACGGTGTCGCGCGTGTGATTGTGAGTGAAAACACCCTCATCATGGTAAAGGTTGGCTAACCATCCCCGCAGGTCGAGAAGCCCTTCGGCAAGGACCTTGCCAGTTCCCGAGAGCTTCAAAAGTCACTCGAGCCTGACTGGAACGAGCAGGAGCTGTTCCGAATTGACCACTACCTTGGTAAGGAGATGGTCAAGAACATTCTGATTCTTAGATTTGGCAACTCTTTCCTCGGCGCCACGTGGAACCGACACCACATCGACAACGTCCAGATCACCTTCAAGGAGCCCTTTGGTACCGAGGGTCGCGGTGGCTACTTTGACGAGTTCGGTATCGTTCGTGATGTCATGCAGAACCATCTCCTCCAGGTCCTTACTCTTTTGGCTATGGAGAGGCCCATCTCTTTCAACGCCGAAGATATCCGTGATGAGAAGGTTCGCGTTCTCCGTGCCATCCCAGCCATTGAGCCCAAGAACGTCATCATTGGTCAGTACGGCAAGTCTCTTGACGGTAGTAAGCCCGCCTACCGTGAGGACGACACCGTTCCCAAGGACTCGAGATGCCCCACTTTCTGTGCACTCGTTGCTTACATCAAGAACGAGCGCTGGGATGGCGTACCTTTCATCATGAAGGCCGGAAAGGCTCTCAATGAGCAGAAGACCGAGATTCGAATCCAGTTCAAGGACGTCACATCGGGTATCTTTAAGGACATTCCCCGAAACGAGCTTGTTATGCGCATTCAGCCCAATGAGAGTGTCTATATCAAGATGAACTCTAAGCTGCCTGGTCTCAGCATGCAAACTGTTGTTACCGAGCTGGATCTCACCTATCGACGACGATTCTCCGACCTCAAAATTCCCGAGGCATACGAGTCGCTTGTCCTTGACTGCTTGAAGGGTGACCAGTCCAACTTTGTCCGTGACGACGAGCTCGACGCCAGCTGGCGCATCTTCACCCCTCTCCTCCACTACCTTGACGACAACAAGGAGATTATTCCCATGGAGTACCCTTACGGTATGGTTTTAATACGAGACTGGCTGAGTTTTACTTACATTATTAATAGGTTCTCGTGGCCCTGCTGTTCTGGATGACTTCACCTCCTCTTACGGTTACAAGTTCAGCGACGCAGCTGGTTACCAGTGGCCAACAACCAATGCTGCTGCTCCTAACAAGTTGTAAGTTTAATAACTTGCATCCTGTAGGCTAGTCTGGGTGCGACGAAACACAGAAGCGGTTTGCTGATTCTTGTAGCTAATAACGCCTCCCCTACAATGAGAGAGTCACGACCGATTTCGGACTATGATATCCAAGCCTGGCGAGGCAACAAAACACCAATCAATGATTTACTCTATATAAAAAAACGATGGAAACTGTTGTCGTAACTTTTGCGACATAATGATGGGCATTTGCTTCTGGGAACTTTTTAGATGCGTTCACATTGGGGGATTGGCTCATGGTTTACGAATCGCTCAATCAAATGAAAATTTCTATTTCAATCTTGAATTTACGATTCCTAGTTTGGATGGGAATGACTTCGTAGCCATAATCCCAAGGCTCTTTATGCCCTGCCAACCTGCCTAACCAATACTTCGATAGGCTGTGGTGTTGGGCCATCGACGCCACAGATGTTCAGAGATCAAAGGGTTGAAAGACATGGTAGGCTTGCATAAACACATCATGGGTATTACGGAGGCACATCAATGGCGACGTATACCTCATCATCAGTAGTTTTTCAAGATACGAAAAGACATACTGTATGTGCCAAATAGACTAAGCACAAAATCTACCTTGCTACTGAAACGCTCTTTATTTTAATCGATGGTGGTGAATTTAATGAATCCTTGCATAACATGATATGCAACCTTCACTTTGCCCCCAAAGTCTTTTTGTGCTGACTTGTACCTGGCCTATCACATGACTAGGCGTTTCGAGCGCTCGGCCAAATGAAGCAACAATCAAGACTCCTCCAAAAGTGAACAAACGATTCACCCGACGAAACGACACCTCTTACACAGACGATCCTTCACGAAAAGAAAAAAACAAAATTAGATTTTACGGCGCCAAACTCTATAACCTTATGTATGATTCGTGCGCGCACTTCCTCACATGACCTGGCAGGTCTTCATTCGTTACCCCCAGCGCCTCTGAAGACTTCTCGCCCTGATATCAACAACTACGACCAACCACCTACTCCTCCAGGATGAGCGATCCTGCCAGCGAAATAGTCCACATCACTCAGGGCTACATACCACTATCCAAGGTTCTTACGCGACTCGCGCAATCGACTCACAATGCGCTCCAGGATCAGATTGCCGCACTGGCAAAGATGCCTTTGCCTACTGCCGCCATGAATGGAAACTCGACGGTACCGAACAGCGACGTCGAAGACGGTTCTGGCGAAAACATTGCCAAGAAGACATCGATACTGAACTTTGCTATGAGGGAGCATCGGAAATGGGTTAAAGCGCTTGTGATTACAGAATGGAGTCGAAAGGCCGACATGGTTAGCAAGCTTATCGACCTGAGATTTCACCTTCAAGGGCAAGAGGTCTTGTTCTCCGGGGCCCTTGATGTTATGGGTCACGTCAAAAGGGATTTGACGTTTGCGAGAATGCCAAGTCCTGATCTGAAAACAGCCCTCCAAGTACTGTCAACTGGAGAGGCCGCTTGGATGCCTGATGTAGGTTTTGCGCATCGCGAGACAACGGCGACCAAGCTGACTTTGCTACTAGCTCTCCTACATCGAGCCACCCCCCCTAACACGACAGGAACAAATTCAATGGATCAGCGATCTCGATACTCAACTATCATTGCGACTTAACCTCGAAGATTTCGACAAGATCCCATATCACTTCAGAAACTACGAAATCGATTCCGGCCGAGTAACATTTAAAGTTGCGGGAGAATTCGAGGTTGATCTCACAATCGCAGACGAAGATTTCGAGAAACAGTTTTGGTTCATCGACTTCCGGTTCGCTTTTGAACCAGCAGCATCTTCGATTCCCGACGGTCTAAAGAATTACCTAGAGGGGCAGGTAAATGATATCCTCAGCAAAGACGGACTGTTAGGCTGCTATCAATTCCTACACGAACTGGTCCTCACACATAAGCTCAACGAGCTCAAGAGACAAGCAAGTCAACTCAGCAGAGGTTCATGGACGGGAACCCTCAAGGTCGAGCCACTCAATCGAGCGTTGGCAATTCAATATTGGACTTCGCGCACACAGCTTGGTAGTCCGAAGAGTTGGATCTTAGTCGCCGTCAATAGCGGCCGGAAGCTCAATGGCCAACCTGATCCCAAGGCCTCAAGTCACTTGGTGGCGAAATGGTATCGAGACAATAAGGAGGTGAAGGACACGAATATTTCTTTCGACGCGGACAATTTATCAGCCGAGACCCTTCTGAAGACGGTTATTGGCCGGCATGTTGAATTCCTTTTGGGCAGCATACACAGCAGATTGCAGGCCTTCCCTCGTTTCCAAAATCGAGATGCTGCTATGATTTTGAACATCTCTCACGATGATCCCGCGACTTCATTCTTAAGTATGCAGGTCGGTTACAAAGATAGCGCATCCCTGCTTGTGGAGCCAACAACTGGTGTTTTCGCTGTCAAGCCTCATTCGAAGTTCACTATCCAACATGAACATTTATTAAATAACGGAAAGAATCCGGCGGATGACGGCGCAGCTTGCTTGGAGAATGTGAGATGTGGAGTCATGGAAGATGAGCTTATTCGCCGCGGAAGTACGACAGGCTGGACTACCAAGAAGAGTCCTTTGAGCAAGGATGAGTTGAGATCTTTGACCAATACCCGCGAATGGACCAAAACGATTTGGCTTCAGAGAACTGGCTGGGACCCAAACTGGTTCGTTATGGTCATGCTGAGTCCGAGCGGGGATGCGTGGTGGCTTGTTGATGTGTAAGTTGGGATAGAGTACCAATAGTTGTGTTTGCAATGCACTAACATGTTTGATAGCAGCCGAAACGCAAATGGACAGTCGAATCGCCTGTCATCGAAGCTTCCTCTCAATAAGGGCTATCCTCATCTTGAAGATGAGTTCTGGAACAACCTAACCCTGTTCGCGACTGGCATGATTGCTCAGGCAGTGGACCAACACGAGCTTTATCGGCACAACATCAAGTTCCTACTGAAAGACACAAGAAATTGGTCTCTTCCCCAGCAGGTCCGACTCCCGACCCTCGAAATCTCTCTCTCAGACATCTTCCCATCCATGGTCCCCAACGTGGCGGAGAAGAATAATGCAAAGGCTGCAAATGAGTCCAGCACTGGTCCAGAGACCTCTAGGCTTGGACCAGTTGCGCCAACTGCATCCACATCGGGCATTTCAACCAGGCAACCATGGGCCGACAATATCGTCTCAATCAGGTTTAAGGGTGTTGAGCCTGTCGACAAAGAAGCCTCTGGTGCAGGGGGTCCCATCTCAGATGTTGCTTTCATGTGCGTTTCCGATGCTATCATCAAGGTCAGCAAACCCGCCAAGTTCGCCATGCTCAAGGGCCACATGGTTGGTCGCGATGTCTCTTGGAAAGCACGTACGGGCGAATTTTGCTTACGAATGCGCTCAAATATCGGACGCTCTATCTTGGAGAACCTGAAGGCTCGGGTCAAAGCCGTGGATCGGTTTGTCAGCTTCTTTGAATCATTGGATAAGGCGAGGGGCTTTATAAAGGCCGAGTCAGTGAGTTTGAAGGAGGTGACTTTCTCCTATGGACCTCCAGCATCGCAGGCGGTCGAGAACGCCGAAGCTTCGCGTCTCTGGAGAGTGGCGCTGGATCTCTCCAACAATGATATTGACATCCAGGTGCAGGAGACTAATCCTCACCTTCCAGTCACTGATTTGATGCAAAAGCTTGTCAATGGTGCTAATGGTATTGGGGCTCTTATGGACTGGCTCCCTGTGTCCCTACCAACCATGGAAGCTTTCAAGAAGATCAGGGAGGCATGGTCCGACATTGAAGCCCATCGACATGGACGGTTCAAGTTTGTAATGAACTCAACGGATGAGATGTCATTTGAGTACCTCCTTGCCGGCACTGGCCCTGGAAACCAACAGGTACAGCGCAGCATCACATTCCTCGGCCAGATCAAGCAGCGTCGAGGTGAGCCGTGGTGGCATATCGAGCGGAAGATTCCCTCTAGCGGCTTGCCTTCTTCCAATGATGAATTTTCCGCAGCACTCAAGCCTGTTTGGGATGGGAAGGGGGATGACTGGCGTGGTCTTGTCACTGGAGCAGCAGGCCGACCAGAAAATGGCATCATTGGCCTTCTTCTAGCCATCGACGAAGCTATCCGGCCACTGGCTGGCTCGACTTTCCAAAACAAATCAGAGGTGGTCATCTTGGAGTGAAACAATCACACTGCACATATTACGACGAGCTTAATTTCCATCAACCATGGTGTTGGAAGGGCTTCTTTTTTATTATCATCATTAGACGAGCGGCGAACTGGAGGGTTTAAAACAAAGCGGATGAGTGTTTTTGCGATAGCTTAATGATACCTCTATATGAACACGGAATACCATTATATTGACTACGGTTCAAGCCAACAAAACTGCTGATTGGGTAGATGATATTGTAAATGATTTGACGTGCTATTGTATTGCATCTTGCTTAACCTATATCTTTCTATTGCCCATCAAGTAATAATACAGCTTTTTGTCCCAATATGCATTCACCTTTCCGTTCTAAAACACCTCTGGCCTTGGCCCATCACCAAAGTATATACATGCATTATTCCCCGCTACTTAAAATGCCGTACAGGGATATGTGAAGTCGCAACGACAGAAAATTGCTGAATGTCGTTAAGATACTCCAAGCCCGTAGCTTCAAGGCCCTCCTTCGCCGCTGTGGCAGCATCATAGCCGGCGCGCAGGCTAGCAACAGCACCGATGCGAGTGAAGGAACCACCAGCGACAGCAAGACGCCCGCCAAAGTTCTGTGTTAACTCGGTGTGCGCAGCCCTCAGGCGATCTTGGTGGCCAACGTAGTGCTGGGGGATGCACTCTCTAGCAAAATTGGCTGTGGCGTAAGCTGGAGCATCACGCGGGATGCCGAGATGACGCTCGAGCAGATTGCGAGCTTGGAGAATGGCCTCGTCCTCAGTTGGGGGGGTGACATCAGGACGATCGTAGTAGTGGCCGCCCATGAGGACGAAGAGCTTGGTACCAGCAGGCTCATCCTTTGAGCGAGTCTGAACGTCAGAATCAAAAAAGACACCGAGAGCGTGCTCAGGGTTAAGCTCAGGGGCCACGGAGTTGGGGATGAGATAGCCGAAACCGGGAGGCTTCAAATTTTCTCGTGGGAACCAGATGTTGACAGTCATGACAGAGACGGAATGTGCCGTTGAGAGCGAAGGGAGTTTGTCCCCTGTGAGACGAGCAATATCTTGTGCAGATAGCGTTGAGATGACCTTATCATATACCTTGGAGTTGTGCTCGGACTTGTTCTTGGCGTTGGAACTGGTAATCTGACATGTGCTGTTAGGAACGTCGACCAGGCCACAAGGGGAAGATATCTTACATGAACTTGCTGGTTAGTTTTATTGTGAACGACATCCTGCACGGCCTCGCCGGTTTTTATGGTGACGTTCGGTTGCTCCCGTAGGGCAGCAGATAGAGCTTGCGGCAGCGACTCCATGCCCTTGTCACCAAAGTCCACCAGCGCACTCCTTGGCTCCAGGGCCATCTTCTGAATCTGCTTGTCCTGGCCTAGAGTTTCGAGGAGAGTCTGCTCAGCCACAGGCATAGGGCGCGCCGACAGGCCGGGGTTTGGCAGGTACCAGCCCCAATACACGCGATCCAGAACACTGCGAGCGCTCAGCTTGTCGATATCACCGCCATAGATACCATGCATCATGGCTGAAGCCAAGGTACCTACGCCCTTTCGACTGTTGCTCACGGCGTAGAGCCATTCAGATACCGAGTAGTCCTTGGAAGGGAGAGTTCTCTTGCGCAAAGAGTTGATGCCCAGTCCAAGACTGGCACCGATGCTCTCAAGGTAGAGCGGCTCACGGAAGATATCAAAGATACTAACATTGGGAGGCATGGGAACGAGATGGTCTGGGTAGTAGATATATCGTGGCTGTTGCCTCGGGGAGTTGACAACGAGTCCAAGATCGAGAGCCTAGAGTGTGGCATGTTAACGGAGTGCGCTTTTGGTGCTGCAGCAAATGTTCTTACCAGATCGTAGAGAACAAGGTCATCGAAGCGAAATGTGTTGCCAGCTAGAGAAGACAACGACCGAGCACCACGCTCAAAAGATACGGTACCGCTCTTCCCCTCAACATCGACGGGTACTCTATCTGTCTTGATCCATCCTCCCAATCTATCACTCGATTCGTATAATGTAATCTTGGCCGTCGAGGGGAGTTTCTTTGCGAGGTAGTATGCCGCCGTGAGACCCGTCAATCCACCTCCCAAGACTGCGATATTCGCGTCCTTCGCCTGCGACACAAATGTCCGTCCATTGTTGAAGGACTGCGTGTAATTGCACGCGACAATGGGTCGTCGCTGAGTCAGTGCCGAGCTTGTGCTGAGGCTCCGGATGGCATCAAGACGTCGGAGGGGCATTGGGAGGTGAGGTTTCGCTGGTGAGCTCAGGAGAGCTACAGCCGTAGATTCTGCTCGACGGCGACTCATTGCTAGAGATCAATTGATCATGGCCGAGGTGCTTAGTATGTATGAGGGTATGTTACGAGAAAGAGGAAGATCGAAAGATGGTGGAGTGTTGAACCAAGGGTCCTGCGCCATGAGCCGGCATTCTTCCGTGTGCGTCATCATCAGGCAGGGCACCGCGGAGAAAGGACTACCTTACCTACCAATATCATAGGTACCTACATACTACAAGGCAGGTTGAGGTTAAGGTAATTCTAGATGTTTGAATCCATTTGCAAAATTCTTCTTTGGCGAAGCACGGGATTACAATACCACAAGTGGTTGGGAACAGTCATCGTAGTAGCCATGAAACCCGTCGTTTTCATTCTCCCCATCGCGCACACCGCTTTGAAGCATCATGATGCGCAATCTACTGGCCTCTTTTTGCTTCTTGGCCTCTATGTATATGATAGTAAACAAGATGGCTTGGGCTGCTTCAAATCACAACCAAGAAATACCAAACCCCCAAACGCCCTTCCATGCTCTGCCACATCGGCCACAGACATTACAAAGCAACCGTAAAAGTACATGTCCTTCGTTCACAGCTTTTCTGTTCATCAAGGCCGCATATTTCCCGTCCCTGGGCTTCTAGGGACTTTGACCATGGGTATCGTGATCTCTTTTCGACCAATCTATCTCCCTTTTCCTCCTCTCATTCTCATTTAACCAATGACATCAGTCTCCTGCTTAACATCGGTCTCCTCCCCCTTGATGAGCTCTTCAGGAGCTTGGTCATCCACAAACTTTCTCTCGCTGGGGTGCTCTGTGCTTTCACCAGCGGTCCAGACCTTGTCCTTAAAGCCACCTTGCTGACCTTCCTCGTGCGCAAAAGCGCAGCTTGGGTTGAGGCAAGGGTTAAACCTGCACTTGGTCTTGACGTGAGTGAATTTGCAGTCGGGATTTGTGCAGCCAGCGCCGTTTCGACAGAGAGGCATTGATGGGTGCTTGAAAGGGCACTGAGGATTTTGGCAGTTGGGGAAGAACTTGCAGTCTAGTTCGCTCTGGTGGGCCAGACGGGCCGCCGGTGAAGGATGCCGCGCGACGCATTTTCGGTTCTTGCACGCAGCTCCGAAACTACAGTTATCGTTTACATCGACCGATGTTCCCTGAGGGGCGGCGGGTGACTGGTGGGCAAATTTGCAGTCCTTGTTGGTACATCTCAAGTTGTACTTGCAAACCGTCTCGTCCGGGTTCAGTTGCTCACGTTTCTCGCCGGACATGTCGACATCCTCACCCTCGCCCTCGAAACCAGCATTATTGCCGCTCTGTCGGTCGTTGAAACCCTTGCGGTAGTTACCTCTGCCGGGGTGTTGCGTACGGTCGAATAGAGACTTTCCTCCACGGCGTTGCTGTCCATATGGACCCTGAAATCCACCTCCACTCATGATCTGTTGCATTTGAAGCATCATCTGGCTCTGCTGTTCCAGAATAGCGGCGAACTCGGCCGAGTTGGGCTGGCCACCTTGCATCATCCACTGCGCCTGAGGACCGCCAGCAGCCATGTTAGCGAGACCAGCCTGAAGGTTAGCAGTGCGGTTGTTGTGCCGCCCGATTCCACCCCGGCCTGTTCTGGGCCCATTTGGCGGTGTACGGCCATGAGTGTTGATACGTTCGCTTCCTGTTTGGCCTCTAACACGGTGAAGTGCAGAATCGCCAGCTCGGTCCATGGCTTTGTTCATCTGTCCGAACATGCGCTTATCACGTCCCCCGCGCTGGTTACCGTTTCGCATTGAGCGTGGGCCGGTAGGTCTAGTAGAAGTCAGTGATTTGGTGATACGAGGTAATATGATGGGGTTGGCATACGCATTCAATTCTGACACATCACCAGCATTCATGTCTGTATCCACATCGCCTTCTGTTGTCGCGTCTTGACTTGTACCAGGCGCTGCATTGCCCCCGCCGTTGAACTGAGCATTTAGAGCATCGATCTGTTCAAAGAGCCACTGAGAGAAGTTGCGAGTGCTGGGGTCGTCCGAGCCAAGGCCAAGTAGATCTCCCGAGAGTTCGGCTGCGATTTCATCCTGAGACTTCCCGTTCACAAGCATGAGTATAATATACTCTGCTAGGGCGGAGTCATCGGCACCGCCAGTTCCCCATCCAACCTCGACGAGTTTGGGCTGGATGGCGGCATTGAGAGCCTCGGCCAGGGGCGTGTTGAGGCTGACTTCGACGGGCATGATGAATGAGTGCGCAGTCGTAGTCGGAGGGATGAGTAGTTTATGTGGTGAGGTTGAGGTGAGTTTTGGTGGCGGAAGAATTCGCCGTGAAGTTGGATCGGAGGCGAAGCTTTGAGTCAGGGACGCGTCTTTTGGAATAGGTGGAGTAAAATAAATCGCGTCGCGTGAGCTAGTTCCTGGTCGCAATGTAGTAAAGAGCGCAGACGTCGAATCGCTAGGTGAGGGGTGATCTGGTGATGTTGCGACGTCGTACGAATCAGCAATGGAGCGAGGTTTTGGTTGATTCAAGACAGAGATGAAGTTGGCAAAGGTCTGTTCAAGGAACGCAGAAGTCGTCAAGAATGGGTCCGGGCCAGTGGAGTCACGTGATGGGGCCGATCAGTCATTGTTCCGTGGTTCATGCAAGTGTGACTTTGTTCTCTTTGTAATAAAGTTAGCACAACTGACAGCCTTCCAGTTGTCCATTCACTGATGAGCTGTCGCAGTGAACAGTGCTACTGTTTGGACTGTTGTCTAGGTATTGCTAAGCAAGCAAGGAGGCTCTTTCATTCACGACCAGAAAAAAAAATGATGATACGCTATCTATCACGGACCAGAAGCTTCGGTGGCCAACGAATAAGAAGTACATGCGATTAGTCATGCCTTTGTGGCATTTGCAATGAAACTCTCTTTATTGTATTTTGTAAACATCAACTGTTGGCTTTTACACGGAAATGTTGGTTGTTGTTCGGACGCTAGGGTACACTTCTTTCTTCCCTCCTCCATGAAGACGAAGCTATTTATGGAATCATCATGAACACATCTCTTTGCTCAGTCATCTGAGAGTATCTAAAAATGACGTTTTGTTTCTTTGTACTAGGTACTCGAGCTTGTTTCCTCGTAGACTGAGAACATGCCCCCGGTATCCAATTCCTTGGATTAGTAGGTAACTAGCGAGGTTTTGGGGCTAAAGAACGGTGCTGGCTAGCAGTTTAGATGTCGATGTCAACGTTCATTACCACCCAAGGTTACATTTCTCCTCTTTCCAAGTTCATCAATTGCTTTGTTACATGTAGTTTTTGGATGTCTTGATTGATGTCAGGTGGTAGCTTTTGGAGCTTTCCCCGGGCGAGTCTACCTACCAGTCTAGGTACTAACCCAGTCTGCCAACCCAAGGTTAGTAGGTAGTATGGAGGTAAATTGGAGGGGGTTGGAGATGGCTGAGACAACATGTCGCCACCCATGTGTACCTACGACTCAAGGAAAGTATTTGAAGCCCGCCTACGGAGTACATAGTCGGTATACGGAGTACACGTAGTCAAGATATCGTCTGGTGTTATCAAGTATTGTTTCTAGCTTTTTTTTTTTTTTTTTTTTTTTTTTTTTTTTTTTTTTTTTACATAGTAATAGTAACTTAGCAGCTTGCTACGTGAACGAGAACATACGACAGCAACAAGCTTACTGCATCGAGAGCCCCATCTAACCAGGGAGATGCAGAGCATTAATCATGCTATGAGTCGTCCAAACCTGAGATTCCAGACCACAATCATCCCTCTGCAGACGCAGTGTGAGCAGCTGATGTAACATGAAGCTTGAGCTGCAGCAAAGAACCAGCCTCGTCCCCTCTCTACGAATTAAGCTGCCATAGCTCCCCTGGTGCTGAGGGGCTGTACCACTGCCGCTACTTGCTGACTGGTTCTCATCTATCTCACTACGTATCCTCATCCTGATCCTTTTCATTGTCGGGCTCAGCCCTGCTACTGTCGCAAATATAGCAACTGGCTGACCATCGAGTCAATCATATGCGGGCATTATTGTCTCAGCACTGCAAGCCCCTCAAGTGCCGTGTCCCAAGGCCCTAGATAGTCGACTACCTTACGGCAGCTACTCTACTGACCGGAACTCGGCTGGGGGTTGCAACGCGTTTTGAAGATCCCACTTACCCAACCTTGCCTTGGACGTATTGGATCGAATCCTTGAAACCAATCCATCCATTCCTGTCTCCGACCGTTGGATACACCATCAGTTAATTTACTGGCTTCTTTTCTCTCTCTGGTGCAGCCAGCACAAAAGGCCACAGCCAAACCATCTGCAAACAACAGCCGCTGGAAATCTCGGTTGGTAGTGTAACGTAACGTTGCGCGCACTTCAAGGTTGTCTGTCATACCCTTCCTCACCTCTCCTCCCTGCAGCTCCAGCTACTGTACTGTAGGCCCTGGACGGATAGCAACATTGAGCTATTGGATTGGATTGGGTTGGATTGGATTAGCAGTGCAGTTACCTGCAGCCGCATGTATATCGAAAACAAGCTCGACGCCATCCCATCAAATCAGCCTTTGTCGGGAGATAAATAATTCAACCCCGCCCAGCCAACCCAGCTCCAGCTCCAGCTCCAGCTCCAGCCAGGCTAGGGATCACCACTCACTCACTACCTTTATACCAGACGAGGCGGAGCTGGGGGATCATCGCCAGTCTTATTAAACGGGGCCTGGCGCTTAAAATCCTCCGTACTATTCATATCCACCCAAAATCATACATCCCTTTCTTTATACAGTACATAAGCACTTGTCCTCTCACCCAATTCACATCTTTACTCTGTACCTCTCATTTCTCATCGTATAAAAAACAACATCGGCGATATGTGGTCCAAGGCCAAGGCTCTCCTGGCCATCGCCGCCTTCGCCCTCACTCCCGTCGACGCCATATGGCCAGTGCCCAAGAAGATCTCAACGGGAGACAAGGTGCTCTTCATCGATCAAAGCATCGATATCACCTACAATGGAGACTTTGTATGCTGGACACCCCCTGGTTCTGTTTTTGATTCCTGTAACCACTCCGCGCAACTTGATACTGAGACCTTGCTTGAAAAACAGATGCCCTACACTTATAACTACCAGCCTGATGCCGGCTCCAAGTTCAACAGCAAGCAGATCGTTCAGGCCGGTGTGTCACGTGCTCTTCAGGCCATCTTCAACGACAACTTTGTGCCATGGAAGCTTCGTGAGCGCAACTCGGATTTTGAGCCGGATCTGCAGAAGAAGCAGTGGGTGAAGTCACTCAAGATTGTCCAAACCGAGGAGGATGACAAGAGCACTTTCAAACCTCTCGCTGGCGAGGTTGATGAGTCGTATTCGCTCACACTTTCTGAAAAGGGTGAGGCTTCTATCAAGGCCAAGTCGTCCACGGGTATTCTGCACGGACTCGAGACATTCTTGCAGCTCTTCTTCAAGCACAGCTCTGGCACTTCATGGTACACGCCGCACGCGCCTGTCACCATCCAGGATTCGCCCGAGTATCCCCACCGCGGTATTCTGCTTGACGTTGCCCGTAGTTTCTTCGAGGTTGAACACATCAAGCGCACCATCGATGCCATGTCCTGGAGCAAGCTGAATCGCCTTCACCTTCACATAACTGACTCGCAGTCCTGGCCTCTTGAAATTCCCGCTCTGCCCAAGCTGGCAGAGAAGGGAGCATACCGTAAAGGCCTCACCTACTCTCCCGAGGACCTGGCCGGAATTTACGAGTATGGTATCCACCGTGGAGTCGAGGTGATCATGGAGATTGACATGCCTGGCCACATTGGTGTGGTTGAGCTTGCGTACAAGGATCTCATTGTTGCATATAACGAGAAGCCATATCAGTGGTGGTGTAAGGAACCGCCCTGTGGTGCGTTCCGGATGAACAGTACTGACGTATATGACTTCCTCGACACCTTGTTCGAGGATCTCTTCCCTCGCATCTCACCTTACAGCGCATATTTCCACGCTGGCGGCGATGAGCTCAACCACAACGACTCCATGCTCGACCCGGGTGTGCGCTCCAACAAGACTGAAGTTCTGGCACCTCTCTTGCAGAAGTTTGTCGATTATACTCACGGCAAGATTCGTGACGCTGGTTTGACGCCATTTGTTTGGGAGGAGATGATTACTGAGTGGAATATGACACTCGGCAAGGATGTTGTGATTCAGTCGTGGCTCGGCAACGGCGCTGTCAAGGCCATGGCTGAGGCTGGTCACAAGGTCATTGACAGCGATTATAACTTCTGGGTGAGTAGTAATTCAGTTTCCTTGAAAACGTGACTTTTGCTGACTGATAACCGAAGTATCTTGATTGTGGTCGTGGACAATGGCTCAACTTTGATAATGGCGAAGCTTTCAAGACCTACTACCCGTTCAACGACTGGTGCGGCCCCACCAAGAGCTGGCGGCTCATCTACTCACACGACCCTCGTGCCGGTCTGTCTGAGGAGGCTGCCAAGCTTGTGCTTGGCGGTGAGGCGGCGGTATGGACAGAAACCATCGACAGCGTCAACCTTGACACTATCGTCTGGCCCCGCGCCGCTGTTATGGGCGAGGTTCTCTGGTCAGGCCGAACCGACGCCTCAGGCCAGAACAGATCGCAGTACGACGCTGCACCTCGACTGGCTGAGCTGCGCGAGCGCATGGTGGCTCGTGGTGTAAGTGCATCGCCAATCCAGATGCCGTTCTGCACGCAGGGCAATGCTACCGAGTGCGCACAGTTTGAAGGATAAGGAAGCGGGCGATGCCATTCATGAATTTCCTTGTACATAGTTTGATGAAACAGCAATTAACAGAATCTTTGTCGTACCCTCTTGCACTGAATCCTGAAACGGAGCCAGAAGGAATGCGGGGCCGAAGTCTCGGCACGGTGGGCGGAGCATGCCGGCTCCGAAAGAAAGCTTTGTGGGGCATGAAGTTGAAGATGAAAGTCGAAGCGGACGCGATTGTTACTCCGCATGATCCGCCCTTGTTTTATCGGTTCACCGCGGGCACCGTATGGGTTGCATACTGACATCTCGAGGCATCTACGCTAAGTCTTGATCGTCACTAGAGCCGTTAAACCTCGGCATGTGAAGGAATCCGGGGACGAGTAGGGGAATAGATGATTGGCCGAGGAAAGACAACCAATGGTCTGGAGTGTACTCCCAAGACTCCGTACTGTATGATGGGTTGGCAATCGCATTCGTGAGCGTTCATTCGTTGGACCATTTCTCTTTGGCGGATGTGGATATGGGCTTGTGCTCTGTAGATCAGGTTGCCGAATCGGGTATCCTGATCGTTGAGTTCATCCCCGCCGGTGTTAGAGCCGAGAACGGTTTTGCACTCCGACCTCGCGTTTTATTTAGCTTTTTAAGAACGAAAGTAAATCTTGAGATGAGATGAGAGCAGAGTTTGCGAAATCTGGGGAAGCTGCTGTAAGTCATTATGCTTCTGGCCAACCTTGACTCTCGTCGGTTTGGCTTGCGAGACCATTCACAGCCAAGACAAGGCTAATGGGTCAAGGAACAACAACGCCAACGTCTTGAAGAGCAACAACTAGGGGAATCCAGTGCCGGTATTATCCCATCGCTGATTTGAAACATCAATTACCCCGCCATATCATGCAAAGCGAAAAACCCTCCTCCCCACCATACAGAGGTCATGCATATGAAAATCCCCTCTTCATAGCTAACATCGCCTCGGTAGGAAGCCAGGTGTTTCGTTGATACCATACCGCTTCAAGGAAGAGATTGTAAAAGTGACGTCTTGTCTTGCATTTTGCCCATCATAAGTCCTCGGGCACGGAGACTCGGTTATCATGGCCCTTCCGTTCCTCCAACAGTTGCTGTGCTACGAGACTAGCCTATCCAAGATATAGAGCATGGGCAGGGAGTTATATTTATAAGCTTCTAGATCCATAACTAACGGCGGTTGAGGCCAGTGGGCTCTGCATCTATCTAGTCCTCGTCCGTGCTCTTGATGCTCGGATAGATCCAACCACACATGACTAGAAGCGCTACCCACACTCTATAATTGCTTGAACCCCAGGATACTCTTTCTACCAGGCAAACTTTGGCTTGTTGAGTTTGACTTTCTACCACTTACAAACTGGTAGATCTCTTCAATCTTTCAGCATGGGTGTCGTGGAAGCTCTTCTGGAGCAAATCTCCGTCAAGACCACATTCATCGTCCTCTTCATCGCCTACGGAGTCTATTCTATAATCTGCCGCATTGACGAACACCGAAGAATCAGACGCCTCGGTCGCTATGGACCTCAACTGAAAACATATGCTCCTTGGAGTAAGTCGAATCCCACCCTTGCATGTTGAGTCCATTCACATTTACCCCTTCCAGGCCTTGATCTCGTCGTGAGATTCGTCAGATCTACCGTCAAGCACAACAACCTGGCATCCTGGAGAGATGGTATCTTTGGGCCCTTGAACTCATGGACGGCTGAGGCTCGTCTTCTTGGTGTTCGAACAATTTTCACCGCCGACCCAGCGAACCTCAAAGCCATATTGGCAACCCAGTTCGTCGACTACGGCAAAGGACAGCCATTCCACGCAGAATGGAAGGACTTTCTCGGTGATAGTATCTTCACTACTGATGGCCCTTCCTGGCATGCCAGTCGGCAGCTCATCAGGCCTCAATTTACAAGGGATCGTGTGAGTGACTTGCACTGCTTCGAGGCCCATATGCAGACCCTTTTCAAGGCCATTGCGAACCGAGGACCACTTCAAGGCGAGGGCCAACTGGTCGACATGAACAATACAGATGGAAAGGTCTTGGACATCAGTGATTTATTCTTCCGCTATACTCTCGACGTGGCTACTGAGTTTCTTCTCGGGTGGGATGTCAAGTCTCTCACGTGAGTAACCAACCAACAAATAATATGATATGATATGGTATGGATCACTCACTGACATATACAACTCAGTACGCCAAAGCAAGAATTTGCAGAAGCCTTCAACGAAGTCCAGCACATTCAAAACATCATCGCTCGTGTCGGAAAACTTCGCCATATTATCCCCAAGTATCGTTTCTGGCGCGGTCTCAACACGGTCAACCACTTCATCAACTTCTACATTGAACGTGCACTCCGTCTAAGCCCCGAAGAGTTGGCTTCCAAGACGAAGGACGATCACAGCTATACGTTTCTGCATGCACTCGCTGGCTTTACACGGGACCGAACAGTGCTCCGTGATCAGATAATCGCTGTTCTGCTTGCGGGGCGAGACACCACTGCTGCGACGCTATCATGGACTCTCTATGAACTTGGTAGATATCCTAATGCTGTGAGAAAGTTGCGCGCTGAGATCATTTCCACACTTGGAACTGAGCGCACGCCAACATACGAGGATCTCAAGAGTATGAGTTATCTCAAGGCTGTTCTCAACGAAACTCTTCGTCTATACCCGGCTGTTCCTTTCAACGTTCGTCTTGCTCTCAAGGACACGACCCTTCCTCGAGGCGGCGGTCCAGATGGTTCTGAGCCGCTCCCCGTTCTGAAGGACTCGCCAGTTGCATATTCCACCCTCGTCATGCAGAGACGTTCGGATCTGTATCCTCCTATCAGCGATACATTTGCTGATCCTCAGATCTTCAGCCCCGAGAGATGGGCCCACTGGCATCCCAAGCCCCATGATTACATCCCTTTCAACGCTGGTCCTAGAATCTGCATCGGTCAGCAGTTTGCTTTGACGGAGATGAGCTATGTTCTGGTCCGCCTGTTCCAGAAATTTGATCGTGTGGAGAGTCAGATGAAGGACATTGATGGAGGCGAGCCGCTCCTCAAAGCAGACATTGTCTTGTCACCAGGTCAGGGGGTCAAGGTTGCATTCTGGGAAGCCCAGGATTAGTCTTCTGGTGTTATATAAATAATGATGTTTGCGTGGATGATGCACAAATTTGATATGCACGATATCGAGATGTTCGTACTTGTAATTCTTTTTCCCCAAAACAGAATGGCTTATGTGTTCTTGAACTGTCTTATCTTCAAACTTGTCCCTGCTTCCAGCAACTGATTGCCAAGACAGAGTCTACTTCCTACCAAAGCTATCTCTCACAGCCTTCCCGAATCTTTCAATGGCCTTGTTCATATTCTCAGGCGTTGCAGATGCATACGTCGCTCTGAAGAAGAGTCCCGGTGGTGCCTTGTCCTTCTCAGTCAAGAACCACGAGCCCCGGGCGATAAGAACACCATTCTCGATACAGGAGTTGAAAATCTCTTCTTCGATATCGACGATGCTTCGCTTTCCTGCTTCAGGATGCTTTGTATGGTCAATATTAATCCACATCTTTCAGAGTTAGTCGACGGTCTCCATATGGATCGGTGCGGTGCACTTACAAACATGCCAGCGACAGGGGGGGTCCAATTAGCAAGATCACTAGGTAGATGATCTTCGCAAGCGACCAGAAGAGCATTGCGCTTCTTCGTATACTCCAGTCGCAAATTCATCAGCCACCGTAAGTAACCCTCGTGTCCCCATGTCTCATCAAGCAACTTATACAGAATGACCTGGGAGAAGCCACTGGGGCCCTGGCTTGCGACTTCAGCGTGTCGGATGTACCTCTCAACAATTTGCTCCGACGCTGTTATCCAGCCAAGACGAGAGCCTGGCACGAGAACCTTTGAGAAGGAGTCCATACGCATAACTCGTCCGTCAACATCGATGCTTAGAAGTGACGGAATGAGAGACGATACAAACTCCTCCACCGTCTCTGGTGGTGGCACTTCTGGCTGGTCGCGACCCGTGTAGGGTTGCATCTGGAGGAAGTAGTATGGTTCATCTTCGATGATGTATAGATCGTGCTTTTGTGCGACGGCATAGACGGCCTTTCGTCTCTCGGCTCCTTGTGTTGCGCCTGTGGGATTCTGTCCTGAGGGAACAGTATACAACACATGGGGCTTCCTCGAACCTCGTTCCTTAGCATCCCAGTTTGACAAGAGCTCATCCATAGCCTCGGGGACGAGGCCCTCCTCGTCGATCGCCACGCCAAATGCCTTCACCCCAAGAGGACCAACTGTTTCCAGGGCGGTCGAGAAGCTGAAATCCTCAGTGAGTATTGAGTCGCCACGATCCTTGTCACAGAACATCCGTAGCGCCTCTTCTAATGCTCCAGTGCTGCCGATTGTCTGGCAAACTTTCCAGTCTGCATAGGGAGGGTTATACACAATCTCAGTGTGTTCAGTCAAGTATCTCATCATCTGCGGCGATCCCGTGGCTTGGCCGTAGTTGCAAGCGATGGACAAGTCATAAGTGCCTCCGCGATCTCTCACGTCATATTTTCCAATTGTTACAGTCTGACCCGATTCTTCAGTCTCTTTCTCGGAGAACTTTGGTGCGACGGGAACCTTGAAACCGAGTTCAGCGATGGGGAAAACTTCACTGGACGGCAGGCCACCGCCCAGTGAGATAAGGCCAGGTTTCTTCATGTAGCGAGCTGCTTGCTTGAGAGTGCATGGTTCTCGCACCCTACTCTCGTGGCTCAAATGACCTGTAGACATATGTAAGCTATAATTATGAAACCCGAGGTGTTCTCTTAGCACTTACTATCCCATCGCTTGGACTTGGGTAGTCCAGTAGTCTATCATTGCAGTGAGTTTCAGAACAATTGTCACTCCAACTCCTAAACTCACCGGTCCCTTGAACATGTCACTATCTGAAGCAGCAGCAACCCCAGCCACGAGTTTTCCCGCTTTCAGCCGTCTCTCCTTCACGGCATCGATAGCGGAGAGCTGCTGAGAGGTATCATAATGTGCTGGACGGGCAGCCGGGGCAGCCTCGGCGCTTGACAGGCATCGCGATGTGGTATGAAGTGAGCGACCATGTCGAACCAGTGGCCCAAAACGCGATCCTCTCACAGCTGGGAGCATCATGGAGGTATGTGAAGGTATGAGATGTTGTGCACCGTGTAAGTGGAGCAGACTGAGGGGTTCGTGGAGGGCCAAGCAGCAGGGGGGGTTTAAAGATTTAGCAAGATGTTGAAGATAGAAACTCGTTACTCGGAATTCATAGAGAACAGAAACAGGAGGTTGTCAAAATACAAAAGGGGTGTCTTATTAATCCCCTTCGGAGCCGGGAGATGCCCCAAACGTCGCCGGTGCCGGGCTTCTCAGTCTCCGCCCGATCTTAGCCGGCTGTATCCCAGATACCCTACACCGGAGCTCCGGGCAAGGGAGCGGGGTTGTGTCATTGACGCCTCACGAGGTCAGAACTCTTTGTTCAATTAGTTATCTATTACGTACGCTTGTTCTGTGTATTCCGCTGTGCTACGTTGCGCGTGACCATGGTCAAGGAGCGGTGGCCACTTGTTGCTTGAGCCGTCATGCCAAATAATCGCTACGATATCGGCACTTGACCACGCCCTTTGAATTGTCACCTACGCCCAGTTGCCTAGTGTCATTCCTAGCGGGCCTATCTCACGCCTTCAATCATGATGAGATAGACTACCCTGGAATGATAAGAGAATGTATCCTCTTTGGGCCTATGGCCAAACAGATTCCCCCACGAACGGATACCGCAGCTCTGTCATTGCATAGAAAACGATAACGAGATCTTACATACCTAGGAAGAGTGGAGGAGTAGACCATCATCCAACAAAATTGCAGGAAACTCCAAAAGATTCAACCAAGGCTCAGAAATAGGTAGGTGTATCATATATCTAGTTCACCATCGTCGCAGGCTCTTATCTTTGTCTGGGCAACATAATCCCTAGTGGGCTCTACACAACCATAATGCAAAGATGAACCCGAATGTTTAAGACTCCTCTCTGGGCAGTTAACATACCCTTTTCCATCACAATCTCAGACTCAGACTCAACTTATTCATTCAGTCGTGGCTGAATATGCAGGCATATAGCGCTTGCAACCATAGCCAAACATGTCGCCCAAGATACATGAACCAGCATGATATAGTCGAAGCCTGCACCAGTACATTTTCCTACCAGCATGCCGAATGATACGCAGGCTGCAAAGATGGGGGACATGTTAGGATCCCGAAGGCGTCGCCGATGAAGAAATGAAGCAACCGAACAACCGTAGATGATACAGGCTGTGAGCACTTGCCACCGAGAAAGCCTGATCAGCGATTCGGAGCGCGCTGTCTGCGGCCAGGTCTTACACCAACCAAGACGTCAGTTTCTATCTCCCGAAAGCAACATGTGCAGCAGATTCAAACTCCCCCATAAGATTGCCAAAGCAATAGCGTACTCAGTCAAACTCACCGTGTCTGGTAAATGAGTGGTTGAGCGCAATTGGTGCATGAACTCTGACATGACCCAAGCGCTTCCGCCTGCTGGTAGAAGCTCAACCACATCGGCCACGAATGGGATGAGCGGCACATGGCGGACAGAGCCTTTTTCAGACGGTTGAGACTTTCCATTCGAATAAATAGTCATGAGAAGCGAAGAAGTCCCGCACGAAGCGAAGTGTGTTGCGAAGGTAGTTAATCAGTCTCGAGCCAAACAACTTTGCTCTCTTCTCCTGACGCTAAATCATTGGGTCCATGTAGTCTTATAAGTAGTCCTTCCCGGACCAAAGAGGATGCTGGGCATCATTACCTGGACAGCAACCCAATGAGCGGGCCTCAATCAACCTGGGTATAGTCGATATACCGATCTGCCATCCGGCAACGCGGAGAGGATTTCCATGCGTAGTTATGGGACAGCATGGGATGGACCAACATCACTCTTGACACAGCCATGATTCCCAAGACTTTCCTTGGTTTGATGCTTCCATGCCTAATGATCGTGCTGATGTTGGGTTGAAATGGTTGTAAGGCATACTCAGCTCAGAAGACGTGAAGACAACGTCAGCCAATCGTTAGAGCCTCATATGGTTCGCCCGCCCAACACTCAACCACAAACCGACTACTTTGCCTCATACGTGGGCTAACTCAATAGGCTTGGTTTACTTTATGTGCGAGTAAAGCATAGAAGCGGCCAATTTGGGACAATTACAAATGAATTCCTCGCATCTGAGACTTGATGCCGAGCCTATCATCCCAGCATGCAGCTTTCTTGAGGCGAACAGACGAACATGATTTGGCTGACTGCTGCATTGACCACTGGTATCCATTGCTTCGTCCCAGTGGCGAGGATCCAACACTGGCTAGCTTCGGGCTTTGCGTTGGGCGTCCATGAATATAAGAACTTTGATACGGCCAGAATCAAACCAACGGTATTGTTCCTTGGATTGGTTTCATTGTCTGTCTCGAGTAAACGTTATCACTCCAATTTCAAAAGCTCTTTTGGGCTGCTCCCTCCCTCTCCTTTCAGCCCAATCCACTCATTGCCATGGACAACATGCCTAACATAGCAGGGTGTTTCATATGGCGAATTGTACGCCATGTCGCAATCATCTTACCCGCGGGGACTCTCCTTGGTGCTGGCGTTGCCCTGGGGTTACCTCCGCACCCTCACTTGGATGCTGCGTAAGTCTGAATGGGCTCGCCAAAGCTTTTCCGCTGATGATGTCTAGAATCTTCTCATTGCTAGTCGTGTCTGCTGTGGTTTCCTTTCTCTTGCACGGACCGGCCTTTCAGCAGTAGGCGCCTTGGACTGGGGATTGGAAGAGAAGCTGACAACTGCGTCACAGAGCCCGTCTCGGCACTATCGCTGGTCTCGTTGCACTTAGCTGCATCATTTCTCAGTCACACTGCTTCACGCAACCCCCGAAGTCAAGAACCGAGATCATGGTCGGGCTTCGAGATTATATCCTGAAAATGGCCGTAGTCACATCCGTGATAGCCATGAGATTGACGGCGATGCCCAGAAACAGACAAGAAACTGCAGAGATAACGTTAATTGAGGAGGGAGAGCACATCTCACCCAAGGGCATTGAGCGATACAAATCTCC